TAACCTGAGGGGAGTTAATTATATTGATTAAACCAATAAACCGCTTGTGTTGAGGTTATTAATCTCAATCGTTTTCATCTTAAGTTTATTGCTACTATCGGGTTAATATACGACACGTGTTCTATATTGACTCGGTAGTAAGTTTTATTAATGAACACGTTTCTTTATTAATAACTACCCTCGATGAATTGGATATACTCCTCGATTGAGTATTCGAGAGGAAGATAGTTAAAGATATAACCCGGATCGACGAACATTTCATTAAGTGGATAAAAGCAAAACCAAGTATTTATCTCTATTAATTAAACTTATATAAGTCGTTCATCTTAGTGTTAATTAAATTAAATCAAAACAAATCTAAAACCCCTTTGTTACTGGAATTTAATTAAAAAGAAAAGTATTCCTTTCTCTGTGATTACGAACCTTACTACACTATACTATGTATAAGTGTTGTATTGTAATTATTATTTTGAAGTGCATACCACGACAAAGTGCTCGTCAATCACGATGAGCTTCTGTCAATCATTCAAGCATATCTTTTTGTAGAAACATCCAAAGGACAATATTCAAGTTCCATATAAAATCCAACTTCAAGGGATACAAATCATATGAAGAAACCATTGCTAGAATCTGAGAGGAAGAAGGTGAAAACAGACGAAGAAGTCAGATGATCGCTATTGCGATTTCAGAATGCGACCTTGTACCATTTTATTTATATCGTTTGGTTGGATGATTCAAATCCAGTTTTGCAAGTTGTGGTGGATATAGTACTTCATTATCTACAAATTTCATGAAGGAAGCATCGTCAAATTTGGAAGGAAAGGCACAGTCGTGCTTGGCAGATAGGCACGTTATGCCTGTAGAAGAAAGGAAGAATCGGCTATTGGAGGTCAGGCACGGTCGTGCCTGCCAGGGAGGCACGTCGTGCCTGACTATGACCCACAACATTGCTCCGCAGGCACAGAGGGAGGCACGGTCGTGCCTGGCACCGTGCCTGCCTCCGGAAATCCCGATTTCGCCCAGATTTGTCTAATTTCTATAAATAATGCCTCCATGCCCCTATTTTAGGGGGGGTGAGTTTAGAGAGAGGCCTAGGAACGTGTTTATATCTATTTTTCAGCTCTATTCTTCAATTCCCTTGGATTATTTGTAAGTTCCTACTTTTAATTGATGACAAATAATTTTGTTCATCCCAATTCTATTGATTCTTCAATCATGAGTTGTGAGTAGTCTTAATTAGGGATTTGGGGTTGATGAAGGGGTTAATTATGATGTATGGATAAATTCATGATGGATTAATTGCATGAATATTGATTTAATTTGTGTTGAATGATTTAATTGATATCTCTTGTAACCTAGATCTGTAGCTAGGTTTACAATTGCTTGTAGAATAAATTAAGAGAGATCTTGTTTATTCTAAGACATCTTCACACACACTTAATCGCTCGCTAAGAGATCAGTAGCGATTAAGGGGTCGTAAGCTCGCTCGTCTTGGCAATAATTTAGGATCATGTCGCATGAGAGATGAGCATAGTCCCCTAAATTATTGTACTGTATGCCGCGAGAGCGGTAAGAACTTAGTAATGATTAGCTAGGCTCAATTAAATTAATTTCATGTAATTAAGCCTGATCTGCCAGAAATCTGGTTACCCCGGAATCAATCCATGTTCCTTTCGTCGTTAATTTGAAAAAAACCAAGCTATTTTATTCGTTTTCCTGCAATTTAATTTTCAATCAATCAAATCTCACACAATTGTTTTATTTTATTTTCTTTTTAATCGTTGAATTTAGTTAATTCTTATTTCCCTTTTGTCCGTTCATGTGTAGACGATACTCGTACTTTTACCCTTACTACAATCTATTTTAAGTGCGAGAAAACTCACATGAGTACTCGACTTTGAGTTTTTCCACTTTTAGTGCTTCGATTATTGCGCGACAGACACTTTTGACACCCGTTTTTGAAAATTTTCACATTTAGTCGCTCGATTTTCATAAAAGTGAAACATTCTGTTATTCAACTATTATAATAGTGACATTTTCAGTCTTTCACTTGTTGTGTCAAATTCATAGTGGAAGGACTACAAGTCTCAATTTTATAATATTCAAGGGACTAAATATGGAAATATTGAAGTCAAGTATTAAAAGTGTCTCTTGCACAATAGTCGAGGATTAAAAAAGGAGAAATTGGAAGTCGCGTACCAAAAGTGTCACTGACCCAATAGTTGAGGTACTGAAAATGAAAAAAACTCCTTTTATGTAACTTAAAGCTTTATAAAATGATCTCAAAAATTGGAAGTCGAGTACCAAAAATGTCACTGACCCAAGCTGTGTCACTCAAAGAGAGTACTAGGGGTTTCTTCCCAACGTTATCTCTCATTCCATATCTTTGATATGGCCCTAAATTAATGATTTGTTGTTGTAATGACACATCTATTGATTTGACCTTTCTAAACATCTTAAGGATAATGTGATCCATTGTACTACTTTCTTCGTTACTCCCTCCGTCCCAATTTGATAGTCTCATTTCTTTTGGACACAAGTTTTAATAAAGTGATTGAAAAGTTAAAAGTTGTGGTTGAGATTTGAGTATAATAAAGTGAAATGATATGGACCACATCTTTCTTTCCAAAAAGGGTAACAAGACCATCATTTTGGGACATCCCAAAAAGGAAATACAGGACTATTATTTTGGGACGGAGGGAGTACATAGCTTATTTACTTTTAATGAGCTGCATTTTGGCTATGTTTGACATGTATAAGTCCTTGTCTAGTAGCTTTTGTACTATTTAAAAAGTTTTTAAAAGCTTTTAGTTGTATGTTTGGCATGCCAATTTTTAAGAGATTTTATAAAACTAAAAGATCTTATTTGAGATGCTACAATGAGTAGCATCTCAGATAAGTCATTAGCTTCTATTATTAATTAGTCTTAACAGCTTATATACTAAACAAAAGCTAAATCAAACAGTCAGCTTTTTACCAAATATGTACTGCCTTTTCTTTTTAAAATATTTTCAGTCACTAAAAGCTAACAGTTACTAAAAAGCTCATAAAAGCATCTTTTCAGCTAGTTGTTCCAAACATACCTTTGTATTTGTAAGCTTTCAACAATATTTGGTCCGTAATGTACGTATGAGTGAATGCATAGTTTTTTTTTAATTTCCATGTGATTTTAATTGATTGGAGGGAAGTCATGGAGTATAAAGCCCTTTTGTAGAAGCTTTTCAACATAGTGATGTGAGTAGTAAGTTGGAGTTGCAAAATTCACTTCCATGATAAAAAGGGTGGATCAATATTTTCCCCTAAATTGCGTAAAATTGAAACTAGGAATTTATAAAAGGATAAAAAATTAATATTTATGACCTCTACAATCTTCTTCCTAATTATTCTACAAATATGAAATTCAAAAACAGTAAATTGAAAGCGCTCTAGCCTCGCCTAGACACTGCCACTGCCACTCATCCTTCATGGTTTCAAAGTATCTTGTTTACAAATTGATCGAAGAAACACTGCCACAAATATAGAGTCGATGAGATCATGAAAGCCATTGTAGCCTAGTATCATCAGACATCTTAGAACCAGAGTTTTTCTAATCTTGGCATTGATAAGATTCAATTTGATTATTCTTTGTTTGTTATTGTTGTGTTTGTGTTGTCCTATTGTGATTCTTTCCGGGCATTGGCGCTCCAATGTGATTTAATCCTCTCAGTGTCAGGAGGTTTTTGTCCCTGCCAATTTCGCTTGGTCGGAGCATTTTGTCTGTCTGTTTACGAGTTGTGTGGAGTATGACAAGTGCATCAGTATTGTTTTTGAGTCCATATATCTCTATGAATATTCAGACCGAAGCATGAAGAGAAGATTATTGTTCATCCATATTGTAGCAGCTTGCCTTCCTCCGAACCCAACTCCGTGGCATGAAGAGATTTGGGGAAAGATTTTGTATCATTATTATTTTTGCTTTAATAGTACTTGTTTTTTATTTGACTTCGAGTATGTGTGGTTGGAATATTTTGTATTTGGTGATCCATTGATAGGCGGTGATTCGTTTCCGTCCGATTTAGGTTCAGAATTGGTCATTTTGTATCCAATGAGTTAAATTTCTTTACATAAGGTGACTAACTATATGTTTATTCACAGAGCTTACAATCGGATCTATAACTTTGTATGACTAGCCTTTCTTCGGAATCACCTCCGTGGCGGGAAGAGATTTGGAGAAAAATTTTGTTTCAGTATCATTTTTGCTTTAGTAGAACCTCTTTTTATTTTAGTTTGAGTAGGTATGGACCATATGGTTGATTTGTTTGAATATTTGGTGATCTTTTGATATGTAGTGCTTCATTTATGGTCGGTTTAGACTATAAATTGATTATTTTGTGTAAGTGAGTCATGTTGTTTCCACTGACTCTATGTTTATTTTATGAGCTTATTGTCTAGAGATTATGTTACATATTTTCTTTGTCTATAAGCCCCTTTTTATAAAAAAAAACATTAAATTTAAGAGGACGTTCTTTTTAAGGAAGATATATTAATTGAAAATTAGAAAGTGATTTAACTTTTAATGAGATGCTATAAAGGAATCACCATATTCAATGTAGGTTAATAAAGGTAGTGGTGACAGAGATTATAAAAATGCACCTTTCTTTTCTTTCTTTGTACATTAATTGATGACAGTAAAAGCTAGTGGTCCGGTTGAGTAGCATGATTTTTAACAATTGACCGCACAGTTGAATCAATCTTACCAAGAACAGATAGATACATAAGTATGTGTGTGTATCCATGGGTCTACGCCCAATCTCCTGTAATCGCAATCGCAATTCCTGCTCTATCTATCTATCCCCAGCCCAATACCATGATATGATATATCCTGATCCTGATAACACCCAAATCTAAACACCGCTCCAATAGCCTTCGCCCACGTGTCATGTGGGTCATCCCTGGCTGACCCCACCTACTCACTCATTCAAAAAACAAAACATTGCCAATTCCCCTTTCCCCTACCATACATACACTCCTTCCAACCAGTCCTCCTCTGTTTAGCTTAGCACAGCAGAGCAGTATGAGCAAGCAGAGTGGCATGAGCTGCAAGAAACGCACTAGATCCGCCCGGAAGGCCCGAACCCGAAAACCCAAGTTCCTCAGCCTCCGCCTCCAGCTCTCCGCCGACAGGAAGGCGGCTGAGGAGGACCCGGCGGCTGTGGTGCCCGAACACGACTCCGCCACAAACTCATCCGACGCCAGCTGCCCGCAGCTCGATTTGTTCCCTCTCCTGCCCGAAGACAACAGCAGCGTCGCGTACGATCTCTTCTCCGCCGCCGAGAGCGACGCCACTACCCTCACCGCGCTCCTCGGCGCCCCCTCCACTTCCGCTTCCTCCGGCGACGACCACCGGGACAGTCCGCTGAGCTTCCCCTACGGATACCGGGGAGCGGCGCTCGCGAGGGCGGCTTTGAGGAGCAAAGAGAGGAACCCGTGCGAGGAGAAGTGGGTGTGCTACTCCGAGGTCACCAGCTGCGCCACCGCCGATCCAAGAATGGATTACCGGCGGCGCCTGTCTTTGAAGCTTGATTACCAGGGGATCATCAACGCTTGGTCCGACAAGGCTCCGCTTTACATCCAATCGGAATCTCCCCAGACGGTGCCGGACTTGTTCCACGACGATCTTCTGTCCAATGTGAGATCCCCTATCCTTATTATCACTACTCCTTACAATCCATCTTTGGCACACATTTCTTCTCCTCAAGATCTGTATTCTTTCTAATGGCTGATTTTCAAATTGGTTTCTTTTTAGTCCCAGTACAGATGAAAATTGGAATGAACAAATAAATACTACTCGTCTCTCTTATTTTTCCATCTTAATTCCTCAGTGCTTCTTCATTTTACTGGTTTGAATATTTTAATTTAATTTGAAAGGAACAAATAATCGAAATTTTAAGTGGATGCCACAAAATATATTTTTTACTCATTCTGAAGGTGGTGGTGAACATGGTAAAAGGTGAAAATGATGATAGTGTTGCAACAAGAAAAAGAAACAAGTAACAGATACTGATTAATATTGCTTATCTGTTACTCGCCAAAATCTCTTTAATACAGTACTCGTTTTTGTTCTGTTTTATTTACGATAAAAGTCACCAAGTATATTTTACCTAATTTGATACGGCGTATATTCGGCACAATTTACATTTTATTAGATGTGTTGAGTTTCTTTGTTACAAAATACAAATCTAACGATCAATGTCAGTGAGTCCGATCCAATATTCTAATTAACCCTTCTGCCCTTATTAAACTTCAGAGTTTGACTTCACATCTATAAAGGAAATAAAAGTGACTTTACTGTAGAGTACATTGTTTGGCACTGTTTGACGCTGTTTGATGTAGATTTGTTTGCCAAATAAGGAAATGTAAAGTTTAATATGAGACGATCCAAAAAAGAAAGTGTAAAGTTGATTAAGGATCGAATGAAATAATAAAGACGTATAGTATAGCATTTTGGGCATGGTAAAAAAGGGGGCATATATGGTCAAATATGTTACGATGAGATTCTTTTTACTAGTAAAATACACTCCTCAAAACCTTAAAAATTAATCAATCAGATTTTCTTTACTTGATGTTATTGGTAATTTTTCATGAGAAAATTATCTCCTTATTGGTATTAGCAGATTAAAAAGGTTTTGATTGTTTTATTTTTAATAGATTGAGAGATGTATTTAAGTCTTTTGTATTGAAAGACTTATTTGTACATTTTTCTAGATTAACGTATTAGTGTAGAACATTGAACAACAATAATGCGAGTTCATACATGTATTATATATACTCTTTTCTTTCTTTTTTAGTTGCAACGATCAACCTTTCACATTTGCCAACGCACGTCTTTAACTGTAATTATATCCTAATTCTATTAGTAAAAAAAATATTAAAAATCAGATTTTGAAAATTTGTAATGAGATGAATTGAACAATATTTTTTTAAAAAAAATAATTTTCATAAAATAATAACGTAAAATGTAGTCAAAATAGATCACGTGAATAATGTAAAATTGAATAAGCAAGAAATGAAATAGTTCATTCTTGGGTATGAAAAAGAGGTGAGGAAATAATAAATGTAGGGTGTATTTTTTAAATAAAATAATCGAACAATAAATTCTGTAGTGGTGGGTCCATACCCATTTCGCACTTTTGAGCTTTTTATCGGGTCTACCACATTCGTGCACTTGTCCCTTGAGCTAAGAGAACAGTACATCCCACGGGACGTTTTATCATCCCTTCCCCTATACATGTCAGATCAAATAATTACATTTCCGTCGGCCATCGAATATGCACTAGAAAAAATGATAATGGTATTCCAAAGTTGTACCTCATTTAAGTGGTGCCCTACTTAAATGAGTTGCCCCATTTATGGCCACACAATAACAAGAACATGTATTGTGATGTGATTTTTGTATTGTTATCTTTTTACGTACCCTTAAATTAAATAATTTTATGATATGGGAACGGATGTCTCCTCTTATAAAACATATATTCGGTACGAATTAATGTATTTAATCATTTGTAAATAGGATCAAGTTAAATGTTTTCTAATTAAAATAGAATCATACTCCATATATGTTAATGACATTGAATATTTCAACGATTAATGGGTTTGAATCACACATTTTTAAAATATTACCAAATACGGAGTATAGTATAAGACGTATGGACAGATTTGAAAAAATGGGACAGAAATAATTAATGTTATAAATATTGCATTGAGGAGGTTAATGTCGTATTCGTTAGAGCTTGTCATTTGATACAACATTGCATTGTGACGGTGCAGGGGACATGGGGCGGAGGGTGGGAGAGTAACAACATGAGTTTGTACGCGGTACCTGAGATGATGGAGGGTAAGTTGAGAAACGACCGGGAAGGCGGCGGAGACGAGGCAGCGCCCGCGGCAGGGCAAATTCAAAGAGCGGCGAGCGTGTTAAGATACAAGGAGAAGCGGCAGAACAGACTCTTCTCCAAAACAATTCGTTATCAAGTTCGTAAACTAAATGCCGAAAAACGACCTCGAATTAAGGTATATATATGTTGCGTTCATTCGTTCGTTCATTCGTTCGTTCATTTGCTTATATTTGCGGTACTGATTTGCAGGGTAGGTTTGTAAAAAGAGATTGAATGGAAGAGTGTGGTGTTTGTTTATGGGGCTAAGGTGTACGTTTTGATGATGTTGGGCAGGGACCGTGCAAGCCAAGCCATAGTGAACTGTGAATGAATGCCGGGCAGATCGAGATTAATTGAAGATGGCCTGGGGTCGTGCTTTAATTAATTTTATGTCACTCTTTTTCTCCTTCATTTTTGTGTCTCACATTGCTAATGTATAAAGGAAATTAGGAATGTCCACTCACCAATAATAGTGAAATCAACTTCCAATAACCTTTTCGAGAATAAATAATAAATTAAACAAAGGCAGAACTATTTTCAGTTTGGCACCCACACTTCCGAATTCCGATCTCATCTCCTCATTCTTAATTCTTAATTAATTACATCACTCCAAATGTGAAAGTTGGCCGGAGTCCTAACATGAACCGTGAAATTGGGATCAATACTAATTACCACATTCGATTCTTTGTGCCATGAATAATTGGCTCATGGCTAGGGTAAATAACTTAATACTCCATAATTGTTTGGTGAGATTCAAATTAGCTCAATCGGTTCATTTGTAGTGAAATTTATAAAATTATGGATGAAATGACTGCTGATTTTGCTTATTTAAACAAACTATTTTTGAAAATATAGTTTATCACTAATTTTCTACAATGTAACCTCAAAAATAACTTCAACCTTTTTTTATTACATAATTCAACGCGCGATATCAAATATTGCGTATTTGGTGAAAAATTGGTTGATAAGATTGATAAGTCAAAAAAACAGGATCTCCAAACGAGCTCTAAATCTACTAAATCATCTCAATAAGAATCATTTTGTTAACACTGAAATTAGCTGAATTGGTTGAATCTATTGAAATTCTGATTAAACTCGCTAAATACGTTGAATTATTGAAATTTAAAATATTGACTGAATCAATTGAATGATTTGAATCTAATGAAATTTATGAAATTCTTATTGAAGTTACAAAAATGGCTAGACCTGTTGAATTATGAAATTCTATATTTAAAATATATTTTATTACGCAACTTAAGAAAAATCACATAAAAATTGTTAAAATAGTCATCTACATTAACCTACAAATCAAAAGTTACGTGTTTGTTAAAAAAATTGACCGATAAGGCTGATAAGCTGAAAATAGAAGTTGCCATTAGAACTATGAGTGCAGAAATCTTGAAGAAAGAATGCGGAAGACTCGCATTGTGTAGAGGTGGACTCGGGCCAGGTCGGGGCCGGGCCAAGCCTAGGCCCGGTCGGGCCGCCGGTTTGTATCACATGGACCCGGGACCGCCACGAGGGTTGGACGGGTCCGGTTCGGGCCGGGCCACCTGCCCGGGTCACGGGTCGGGCCACCCGCCCGGGTCACGGGTCGGGCCACCCGCCCGGGTCACGGGTCGGGCCACCCGCCGGGCCAGCTGGGCCGGTTAAAGTATTTTTTTATAATTTATACTTTATAGTTTTATACAAGTATTAAAAACAAACTTCAAGTGCATTTATTTGAAATGAAATAGGAACTACATTTGAAAATTAAAACAAACTTCAAGAGACATACATTTTCTAAATTGTAATCAATCGGAACTTCCCGCACCTCCCGATCCTTTGGCTTTGTCACATCACTCACATGACTTAATATGCTTCATTGTCATCCCGTATCCGCCTGAAACCCCCATGCTACATTTTTTCTCGCACCATTTGCAAGTTGCGTACCACATCCCGGTCTTCGGGTCCTTCTGCTTATCAAAATTATACCGTATAACGGCATCTTGACTTTCCATCTTAAAAATGGTACATATAATAATTCTACAATAGATGAAGATGAAGATGGAGATTGGAGAATGGAGATTAGAGATTGGATGTTGGAGAAGATGTGTATAAAAATGTTAGAAAATAAGAGTATTTATAGAATTTTTTGTACCCCCACCCCCACCCCACCGGCTCTATGCCTTTATTGATTCAAATTTCAATAGAGCCGTTTGGGGCTTTTGAATTTTGATTTCAAATTTTTTTTGTATGTTTTATTTTGAATAAATTACATAATGTAAAATTAATTAATTAATTTTATGAATTCAAAAAAAATGCTACATATAAAAAAATTAACGTATATTTATTTGAAATATGAACTATAAGTTTACAAGTTACAATTGAGAATTGAAGGTAAAATTAAAACATGAAATACTTATCAATCATTCAATCGGAATCTCCGGCATAGGCAGAGCCACACTCGGTTGTAGATTCATCCATAAAGTGTTGGGATGGGGTGATGTCAATTTCTTGAGCTCTACGGGACGCTTTAAACCAATCGTGGTAGCATATAAGCATCTCAAGAGATTCTGCGCTCAACCTCGTTCTACATTGCGTTAGGACATTGCCGGTCGAACTAAATTCGTGTTCCACGGCAACCGTTGAAACCGACATTGATAGCACTTGCTTAGTCATCTTTGCTAAAACCGGGAACATTCTTTCTTTTCCCTTCCACCAGTTTAGTTCGTCAAAATCATCTTCTTCGAAATCAACATCATATGTTAAATACAAAGAAATCTCATTAATTGTGCTTTATTGCGTAGCGAGAGTTGATTTCGTTTTTTAATAAGATTGGCAAATGTAGATTTGAAAATTGATTTTTCTTTAGATGATGTTTGTGTCGGGGGAGGGGCGCATTGCCATATTGTGCATGAAACTCATTAAATAGTGCATAAAATATATCACTAACCTCGCTGTATTCTTTTTTCGGATCAATTGGGTTGTCCTCATACATTGGCAATGGACCAAAAAAAGCAGCATAATAATAATTCAAACATTTTTCTAAAGAACCAAGTCTAAAACGAGGATCGAGAACAAATGCAATACCATAAATATGCGGAATATGTGAATAATATTTTTAAAAAATTCCTTCATAAAACTAGCAAAATAACTCACATAATCAGCATTCTCAAAAATTGAAAAAACACCGGCGAGATTAACAGCTTCACGAATAAATTGGTTTGAGGTAGGTTTATAAACATGACTAAAAGTTTTAGTTGCATTATTAAAATATATCAAAGCATTACAAATTTTTTCACAGGTGTCGATCTCAGCCGAGTTTATAATATAGTTATCATATTGTTTCATAAAAGCAGGAAAATGTTGTTTATATCTAAGAAGAACTCCAATTAACTTATAGGTACTATTTCAACGAATAGACAAATCTTTAGGAAAAGCCACATATTTCTCACTTCTTTCTATCAAATAATCATGTCATTTTTTCCTAAGTTGTCCATTACCCCAAATACGTCTAATCCCCCCCTTGACTACCTCCAACAATGCTCCCAACGCTTTTAGACCATCTTGCACACATAAATTTAGAACATGACATGCACATCATTGATGAAAAAATCTACTCATCAAAGAAGTAGAACCACACAATTCACGCAATCTAGGAATAGCAGCAGTATTATTAGTAGCATTATCAAAAACAATAGCAAACACCTTATCAATTAAATTATACTCAATTAAAATACGCTCAATCAAAATATAAATATGTTCAGCGGTGTGACGATCATTAAATTCACGGAAAGCAAGAACACGTTTATGCATATGCCAATCATTATCAATATAATGTACAGTCAGACCCAAATTATGTAAATTATGATAAGTATCTTCCCATATGTCAGAACATACAGTAACACGCCCATCAAAGTTTGCAAAATAATTTTGTAACCTTACCTTTTCCGCATCATAAAGCCTTGAAATTTCTTTCTTAACCGTTTTGCGACTATAACCTCTATATTGCGGATTTAAACAAGTTTGTGCATAATCACGAAAAGCAAGACTTTCAGAAAACAAATAAGGTAAATTTTCTTCAACAAGTAAGTTAGCCATACCAGTCAAATTTTGTGCATCATTGTATGAGAAATTACCAAAAGCTTGTTGGTTATTTGCAAACCTCGATATTTGAGTTTGCTTCCCCGTTCCACCGCCTAATTTTGCATACTCCACCGGGTGTTTGGACTTAAGATGTCTTGTGGCGGATCTGTATCCGCCGAAAATCCCCAAGCTATAGTTTTTCTTGCACCAATTGCAAGTTGCGGTCCAATTCCCGGTGTTCGTGTCCTTCCACTTAGAAAAATTATTAGCCCTTAGTTCGGATTTACTTTTTTTCGTACCTGTTTGGGATGAGGCAGGCTCGTCGGCGTCATGGCTGCCGCCACCCTCCTCCTCCTCGTCGTCGTGGCTCTCCGGAATTACTTCCTCCACATCGTCGTCCTCAAGCTCTTCTTCGTCAATGGTCCTCGGTTGATCTTGAAAAAAGCGGGAATTATGTCGGTGCAATTCTTGTTCTAGTTGTTCGTCGGTCATCGCATCTCCATCCCTCCTTGTGTAACCCGTATCAAAATCATCTCGACTTTGAGATGAAGAGCCGATATGTGATTTACTTTTGCGGGGTCTCTTCCTCGCAAGCTCTTTCGTTCGGTTGCGCTCGAGGTTACCCATATCAACCGAATATCTAGGACGATCCATCTAAAAAATGTAACAAATATTAAATTGCAACAAATATATTAATAAAAATATATTAATAAAAAATTGGAGTTATAGCAAATTAGTATTTTAAAGTTTACTTTAATCAAATTAACTAGTGAATTAACTAGTTTTGTGTACAACCTATTTTTTTTACTAACAATGAAATTAATATACTTTAACTTTAACTATAATGAGAACTAACTAGTTTTTTAAACTAGAGTCAAATGTAGCAATTAATAAAAAAATTGTAATAAAGTAATTAACTATTAATCTAACTAATAATTCGAGTTATAGCAAATTAGTATTTTAAAGTTTACTTTAATCAAATTAACTAGTGAATTAACTAGTTTTGTGTACAACCTATTTTTTTACTAACAATGAAATTAATACACTTTAACTTTAACTATAATGAGAATTACGACTAGTTTTTTGTACAACCTATTTTTTTTTTACTAACAATCAAATTGTTATAGTTTAACTTTAACTTTTATGAGAATTAACTAGTTTTTTTTTCAAGTAACGTTAATACAAAATTAAACAAGTGTAAATAATAGAATGATTTCGTACCTCTTTCGGACTTTCGGTCTTTCGGATGGGAGTAATAGAATGACTTCAAATTAATTAGATATAATTCCAACTATATTAATAGATATAATAAATGTATAAGTAATATATAATGAGATAACAAACATAAGTAATATAATATTATAATGTATGTATTTATAAATTATAAGTAGATAATTAATATAAAGTAGATATATAAATAATAAATATAATATATTGGAGAATAAGAGAATTAGAGAGTAGAGAGTTAAGAATAGGATTTAGGAAGAATTGGAGAAGAGATATGAAAAAATGTTTTAGATTAGGAGTATTTATAGGTTTTTTTACCCCACCTCCACCCCCCCCCCACCCCTCCCGGACCCCCCCTGCAGCCCACCCAACGGCTGTATAGCCGTTTAGGTTGTCCCCAGCCCACCCCCAACGGCTATTTTGGCCCAAAACATTTTTTTTAAACTGGTCGTCGGACCCGGACCCGAGCCCGACCCGGTCGGTCCGGGTCAACTATTTCCGGAACCGAGCCCGCCCCGCCCATTCCCACCGGTTCGAGTCTACACCCGGTCCCGGACCGCCAGACCGGGCCGGTCCTGGGCCTGCACAGTAGCGGGCCGGGCCGGGTCACGGGCCGGGTGGCCCGAACCGAATCAAATATTATTTCAACCTTATTTTTTATTATTATTACATAATTCAACGCGCGATATCAAATATTGCGTATTTGGTGAAAAATTGGTTGATAAGATTGATAAGTCAAAAAAACATGATCTCCAAACGAGCTCTAAATCTACTAAATCATCTCAATAAGAATCATTTTGTTAACACTGAAATTAGCTGAATTGGTTGAATCTATTGAAATTCTGATTAAACTCGCTAAATACGTTGAATTATAGAAATTTAAAATATTGAGTGAATCAATTGAATCTAATGAAATTTATGAAATTCTTATTGAAGTTAAAAAAATGGCTAGACCTGTTGAATTATGAAATTCTATATTTAAAATATATTTTATTAAGCAACTTAAGAAAAATCACATAAAAAATTGTTAAAATAGTCATCTACATTAACCTACAAAATCAAAAGTTACGTGTTTGTTAAAAAAATTGATCGATAAGGCTGATAAGCTGAAAATAGAAATTGCCATTAGTATGTATGAAGAAAGAAAGAATGCGGAAGACTCGTATTGTGTAATCAGACGAAGAAGAACGAATCATTCTAAATATCACAGAAGGGCTAACTATAGTATGTATACAAAAGGGCTAACAAGCAATATTAATACTTAAAGAAGAAAGCAGTCCAATAGTATTTGGGCCCAAAATGATCTAGTCCAATTCTTTATTCATGAGACTGAAACATGCGGAATAAAAGATACAAAAATAACTTCGCATCGTATCTTTTATTCTCCACATTTCAGTTCCACCTAGTGCACATTTCAACTTCACCTAATGCACAATTCAGCTTCACATAATGTGACTGTATCGTACCCTTTGTATTGCCAATTGAATTTCAAATAAAACAAATCTAACGGTCCAGATTCATTATCATTTCTCTTTTAAGATCATGTTCCTATTTGAACCAAAACACACACACAGGAAAAAGATCTTGTCAATCCGGATGGACAGGAGGCGCCGTTCGGCGACCTCTATTTGGGGCGGTTCCCGGTGTAGTTTTTTAATGATTTTTCTGAGAATGTTCCTTATCAAGTCTAGTTTATCTACACAAAATTTCAGCTAAAAATTCGATCTGGAAGGCAGTCAAACAATTTTTGAAAAATAACTGTGTTTTATAAGTATAATTTGGTGCAATTATCTTCAAAAATTTATTTGACTGTCTTCCCAATCAAATCTTTAGCTGAAATATTTTGTGGATAAACTAGACTTGATAAGGAACATGCTCAAAAAGTTCATCAAAAAATTCCACCGGGAGTCACCCCAAATAGCGGCGGCCGGATGGCGCCTCCTGTCCCTCCGAATTTCTATATATATATAATAATTAGAAATACAAAACGTGCGGGGCGTTTACTATATATATTAATTTACTATATATATATACACACACACACACTAGCAGGGCGGCGCGCAGTGCGCGTGAATCGTGCCCAACGATGGAATTTAAGACAAAACGTTATGGGGAATAGCAGTTTAAAACATAAAGAGGAAGTAGTAAGTTAATTGTTGGGAAATTGATGGAACGTACCTCGAATGTACGGCAGCGGAAGTTTAAATTTTTCCCAAACAGATCTTCCTTGATTATGACAAAACAACGAATATGACAATAATAGTAGATCTGAGTTAGAACTTACAAATCTTCCAGCCTAGCGGTGATAATCCTTGACCTTAGATATCCACATGATTTCTCCTTTCCGAAAGAACGGTTAGATCTTCCATAGAGAAAGGCTAGGAAATCTCTTCGCAGAGAAATAAACTGGTAATACTGAATCTAGAAAACTGGTCTCTTAATCATGAAGGAGGAGGATGTATTTATACTAGTTCTAAACTAGTTTCTCAATCACAATGAAAGTCTTACTAATTAATGAGTTCTAATCATGCTAGGACCAATACTCCTAATTAATTAAATAAGTAGATAAAACAAAATAATAATAATAATAATAATAGTTGAGATGTGGCTGCACGCCACTTTCTAATTATTATATATTAATATTTATTTTATTTACTTTTCTTTTAATTCTAAATTACAAAAGAAAATGTCTACTTTATTTAATAATAAATACATCTTATTTAAGTATGATAAATCTAATTTATCTTACTTAATTAATTCTATCAAATAGAACTCTCCTTCAACTTCATGAATTAAATATGTTTAATCTAATTAATTGTTAGGAATATTTTATGGTGTCCAATCTAGATTAAATATCTTTGTATTTGTGTGTATTTGTGTAGTTAGCATTTAGGTGTGTAATATGGGCCACAAATGTGTATCAGCCCATGAGCTTCCTTGTAACCCGTAAGTTAGCCAACTTCTCCTATAAAAGGAAGCTAACTTACGGGAACCCTAACTATCGAAAAAGAGGCTTTAGAGTGCGTAGAGGCGAGATAGAGAGAAGGGTTTCCGCTGCTCTCCTTCTCGAGGGAGAGCAGCGGGGTTTCATACGGTATACCAGGTTCGTGTATAATATCGGCATCCTTCCATCTGCTTCTTCGTTGTTACTTTCTTACGATTGTTTGATTGTTAAATACTGGGTTTACCAATTGGTATCAGAGTCGAGGCGTGAAAAAGGTTGAATCTATCTGCGTTTTTCGTATCTGCTTTTTCGACAGACTCTGTTTTTCTCTAGTATTTCATTATCTCGATATTTGCCTTTGTGATATTGTTTTTGATCGAAACTTTGTAAAAATTATACTGTTGGAATCGCCTCCTCTTACCGATTCTACATCACTTCTTTGTTTTCAATTTCTGCATTTTTTCGATTTCGAAGATCTCTTTACTGAGATCTCGAGATCCTATTTTTTCACCGCTGCAGAAACGATTTTGACTTGAATTTAATACAGGAGGAATCGTGAGATCAAGGGCTTTTCAAAACTGTTTTCAAAATTTCAAAACTCGAAATTTTCAACTTGAAAGATTTCGAGATTTTGTTAGATCTCGATACCTTGGAAGATCTCGAGATTCTGGTTTTTATATGACAAGTAAGATTTCGAAGTTTTTGAAGATTTCGACATTTTACGAATTTCTTGATGTTTTGAATCTTTCAAAGTTTGGAGTTTCTTGAAACTCAAAATCGTTCGAAGCTTGATATCTTTCTGTTCAGAACATTTCGAAGCTTAAATTATAGGATTTTTGGATGAATCTCTGCTTTTCAAAGTTTTTTAAAGTTTTCGATGTTCTGATGTTTTTCAAACAGTAAGTTTTCGGTATTCTGACGCTTTCGAAACTCCAAAGTTTTCGATGTTCTAAACATTTTGAAATTCTAAAGATTTCGAAGTCTTGAGGTGTTGTTTTTGCAGGTGGATTTCGACGTTCTTCTAAGGGATAAACTCGAGATTGTAATCTCGAGATTTAAACCTCGAGATTGTAATCTCGAAGTTTACAATCTCGAAGTTTAAACCTCGAGATTGTAATCTCGAAGTGTAAACCTCGAGATTGTAATCTCGAAGTTTAAACCTCGAGATTGTAATCTCGAGATTTAAACCTCGAGATTGTAATCTCGGGATTTAAACCTCGAGATTGTAATCTCGGGATTTAAACCTCGAGATTGTAATCTCGGGATTTAAACCTCGAGATTGTAATCTCGGGGTTTAAACCTCGAGATTGTAATCTCGAAGTTTAAACCTCGAGATTGTAATCTCGAGATTTAAACCTCGAGATTGGGATTTCGAGGTTTTACCTTAGAATTTTCTTTAAAATCCACCTGATCTCGATATTCAAGGTCGAGAACCTCAACTTCGAAGAATTTCCTCAAAATTCAAAGTTTTTGCATGTCTTCACTGTTTTGGCCATAACTTTTGACTCGGTGATCCGATTTTAGCAAACTTTTTTTGTTGGAAAGCTAACGAAAAGATCTACATTTATTCTAGGGGTTTACCCCAGAAGCCATTTTCACGCGCCCTCACTCGCAGTATTTGAGGGTCAAAACGTTAGTTTTCCGACAAACTTTGTAAATCACCGATGTCAAGAGGTCATTTTAGGCAAATCTGATCAAATTCTTCCAAAGTCGAACCAAAGGTCGAATAGGGTCTAAGCTTCAATGTAAAGATCCGAAAATCGTAGATAATTCAATCAACCTCGCGTCAACGGTCATTCTACAACAATCAACAATCAACCACTGAAGCCTCCGTTGACTCATCAACATTATGTGATCCTCAATATGCTGAAATTCTACATGATGAGCTTAGGGAACCGTCATGTGTGGTACTTGTTCAGATTGCTCCACACACATGGCGGGGATGACAAGCTGTGAGCAATCAAACCTTGCACATTCTGAGGGGGAGTTTCAGTTTTCTCCTCCTGGCACCTTACACCGACAAAGCAAGGAATCTCTCAAAGGATGCAACATTTTAGGGGAAGTGTTCAATGTTATCCTCCCCGGTGCCTAACAATGACAAAGCATACCGAGTGCTCCAGTTGAGGGGGGGTACAGAGAGAAATGAAGAAAGTAATGAGAGAACATGTTCCTATGGTTTAGTAAACCCAACTAAGCCTACCCAAGGCACAAAGCTGAGCGTAAGTGAGTGAGTGAACATTATGAGCGTTAGGAAGCAGAAGGCTCAAGTGAGCAAGAAAACAATAATCAATGATAAGCCTGCTACCTCAATTGCCTGCAATCCATTGAACACTTACTCCTAGCCACTCAAAT